TTGGTACCAACCAATTTTGTCCGTATAGGTGGAGACGGTGATGCTGATGCCGATGGCGACGGCGACGGCGACGGCGACGGCGATGGTGCATCTGGCGGTGACGATGCTGGCAGAAGCAATAGTACACTGCCATCTTGCGATGCATCAGCCATAGCAACTGATCCGGTGTCCATAGCTCCCCGATAATGCGGTGCCTTGTCGCGAAGTTCAAGACTGGTATTTGAGTGCTGACTATTCGATCCCGATTGGCAGATCAGGCGTTCGTAGGTGATGCCGGATTGCTGGCCTCTTGGATACAACCAAGTAGGATCGGTCTGTTTCAGCCAATCCTTCCGAACAGGACCAGTGTTCACCGGTTGTGGAGTGGGTGATTCAAGCTTTGACCGCAAAGAGTCGTACCGGCCCGAGGAGAGCCAGGCAGCGGTCGAAGTACTCCTCCACGTCAACATCTGTCTCGACTCAGAACTCAAAGTGTCACCGGCAACTGTGACGTCGTCTTCGTCTTCATGTTCTCCTCCGAAGTCTGCACTTTCAACCACACTTTCACTCATAACCCCATTTCGCCTCGTCACTTCGTCTTCAGCTGCCTCCTCATGTCGGCCCTCTTGGTTCGGCCTGTGATGTTGATGGTACCGGAACCGAGAACCGAGAACCAGTTCGTAGTCAAGACTGGGCGTCGTCACGACTCGGCCGCCAAAACCTGTTGTCGAGTCGACAACATGCTCCATGCCCTGTCCACGACGGATCGGCGTAACGGCAAAAGTATGTGGCAAAGAGTGATGAGGCGATTGCAGCTGACGGCCGATCGGCAGTTGAGGCTCTTCACGAACCCTGGCAACCGGCGCCCTCCAGGTCGACACGGATGAGCCCATCTGCCCCAGTGCACAGCTCGAGTGGCCGGGTGCAGACGGCCCTCTGGACTCCATGCCAACTGGGCCTCGGCGAGAGTCAAGGCTCAAGGTCTCGTAGACGTCCGGACCTCCACGAGCGCTGACAGTTTCGAAAGAACCACTGTCACCAAAGCCGCGAGGGTTTGCCTTTGGGTCAGACTTGTTGAGTTCCGCTTCGCTGCTCGACGAAGTCAGCTGTCCCGATCGGAAAGCGGTCAGAATGCTCTGCAAGAAGAGACAGAGTGTCTGTTGGAGATGAGGGTGCCGATCATAAGCTCCATTTCTGGTGTCTTCAGCATTATCCGAACAGACGTCAGTAATGCTGCTTGTCATCGTGTAGAGAGGTAAAATCTGCGTCAGGAGGGTTTACCCCAACAGGTCAAGTCTTGATTGGCTAGGAAAAAAGAATTTCACCCGTCTAACTTGTGAAAGATACATGAATCTCTGTGGAGCCAAGACTACGAACGGGCTGAAATGTGGAATTTCCTACTCCTACAAACTGGTTGCCAGCAATCCATTGTGAGCATTCCCTGTTTGCTCGGCCATACAAACAACAGTGGTTGCGCAAAAGTACGTTTTCGCCCCAAATGTGTTTCATCGAATGCCAAAAGGAAAAAAAATGTTAGCCACACCTGATACATCAGAGTGCCAAACGCCACATAAAATGGTGCCTCCTAAAGCAAGCCCTACCTTAGAAGTACACATTTTTCGAGTCGAAGAAAAGGAACCGGTAAAACAATAAACCTTCTTCTCAGACGTAGCCAGCAGCAGGCGATACGCAGAAATTTTTTTTTCAGAAAAAAACAAAAAGTTCTGATGTAGGATACCAAAAGCGAGGCTAACATAAGGACAACTGAAGATTCTACTTGAAACGGAGGTAATACCTATCCTTACTGAAGGGAATTTCGTCCAGAGAACACTTGTGCTTCTATTAACCTTTAGCCTGATTTTCACTGATTAAATGCCTCATATTTCACAAGTATTCTGACAAAAATCTGCAAAACTGGCTATTAAATAAATATATCATCTTAACGGACTGTCTACTTCAATTCTGCAAATAGTATCTATCAAGCGGTTAATTCTCTATCAATCTATTCCTTGTATGTAAAGAATAAAAATACCCCAAAATAAATATATATAAAATATAAATAGACAGAAGCAGCCCATTTGCCGTTGCACTTATCTGCTTAAGGCCACTTCAATTTCGGATGAAAGATGGATCGCACCAGAAGGCGACGGAGGATTTTCTTGGTCAGCTTTTGGTTGGCGCTAATGGCATAATCTCTTTAGATTCCGGTGAAAACGTGTTAAGCTTCTGTTCATCAAGTGACTGACACCGTCAGAGCCAAGTACTATTTTTACCCTATTTCGTGTAAGGTGATGAAGGACTGGTAGTAGAATTTTCCCACAATGACATAAGTTGAGCTGACGTTTCCATTGCATTTCACATAGTCTTGCTTTCGCAAAAGTTGTTCTCATCCAGGGTGGACTGCAGTCGGTCTTATCAACACCGTCAGCGGGAGTCGAACCGCGACAATACAGGACGGTAACTTGACACGCTAACCACTCGGCTACACTGCCACGAGTACCCTTGAGTCGCGGGGCAA